AATTTTAAAAGAGTTGGTCACCCACACCTCAGCCTGGCCTGCAGGATCGGACTGAAAATGACTCTCTGACATCCCCCAAGGCGTCCTGGATTGCAAGAGGGCACAGGCCAGGCCAAGGGGCCCCACGGGTGCACAATAGAGGCTGGGCAGGGACGTGGGAGGGTGGCCAGCCGGGAAGGGACTGGGGGAGGGCTTCAGGGTATGTCTGCCTGTCTCATTCAGTCCTAATCAGCTGGACCCCAGAAGTAAGCTAACCTACCAGTTGGAGCATCTGCCTCCTGGTGGTTAGTGCACATCATAGCAAGCTATTGAGCAGCCTTGGCACATCATTAGCATATTATGCTTTGATTGGTTGACCAGCCGACCAGACACTTAGCATATTAGGCTTTTATTATATAGGATTAACTGATGTCATACCCAATAAATTCAACTATATATATATTTATCAGTTTAAGATTTATATATAGGAGGGAATCTAGGCTGTGCAAACATGTCTGACTAATTTCAAAGGCATTTTGAAAATTGCTTCAATTATTTCCTGATAAAAAAAAATACTGCCATGAAGGGTTTTCAATAATCAAATCCCTGAGCAAAGTAGGATTTCTAGAATTGGCTGGGTTATTGGCATGTCATGGTCTGGTCAGGATGTGTGACCATCTCAGGCTGGCAATTACAGGCAGCCCCTGGATCTCACGAGAGCAGCAAGAAGCACTTAACAGTGGGATAATGTTGCCTGTCTGCATTACCTACAGGATTTACTCAGCACTGCTCCTGCTTCTTCGGTGCTTTTTAGAAAGCCTTGGGAAGGGCAGGCTGCAAGCTGAGAGTGGGAGTCTGCAAGGGAGTGTGGTTTTGTGTGTGTGTGTGTGTGTGTGTGTGTGTGTGTGTGTGTGTTTAATGTGAGAGAGGAGAGATTTTTCTCTTCCTAATAAAAACAGAGCGGAGCGTGGTGACTAGGATATCGTCTCTCAAATCCATCAAGAACTGAAGGCTCCTGCAGTTTGAAAATACCTCAGGAAAACGTCCCCACGTAGCCTTCCCTTCTGAGTCATTTAGCTTGCATTTAAACATGCCAGCCCAGCAAAACCAGGCTGGTGATTTCACTGGTGCAAATGAGAGAGATCTGAGTGGAGTGGGATTTGGGGAAAAGAAAAAAAAATGACTGCCTTTAGGAAAATAACACCAACTTTTTTTAAAAATCACTTTACCAAAAAAAAAAAAAGTTCCTTTGAACGAGTTTGAATTCAAGCAATTAGTGGATCAGAGCTGATGTAGGTGTGTGTGCTTCTCACAGCACTCTGCACACCTGGGCGGGCTGCTGGGCTTTCCTTCCATGTTGTTGGAAGATTAGAGGTGAAGAAATATGTGAAATGATTGGCACCGTGTTGATGCACAACAGACACAATTACTTCTTGATCTCCATTTTTATCCAATAAAATAATATACACACATGCCACATGCACAAATACTTGCATACCAGGTGATTATTTGTCTACTCAGTTGGCATAAAAGAGAACCTAGGGGTACCTCCCTCTGTCTCTCTGTGTGTGTTTCTGTGTGTCTGTGTCTGTCTCTGTCTCTCTCTGTGTATTTCTCTCTCTCTCTTTGCCTCTGTCTGTTTCTGTGTCTCTCTGTCTGTCTGTCTATCTCTCCTCCACTCCGCTCAGGATACCGTAAGTCTCTTAACTCCTCTGACCTCCCCCAGGATCTGACTTGTTCCTTTTTCTCAGCCTCTGACCCCATCAGTTGTCCCATCAAGTCACTGGAAAAGAACAGAAGGCATAGGATAGGAATTCCATGGGAGGGAGGGGAGCTGGGGGGCTGCCCGTACAACTTTGAAATGAAGCATCTACATAGCAAACACATCTCCCCACAACTCGGTTCATCGACCATGTGGCACTCACTTGGCTGTGCTAAATGCTAAAAAGAGGCCCTGTTTTCCTTTGCCAACCCCCCCTGGGGACTGGGGTCTGCCCTCCCAGAGCAATGGGTCCAGGGTTAGACAGGAATACAGTGACACCTGCTCTGAGAAAGGGACAGTCCAGAAGTGCAGGGAGCCGCACCTATACAGACAGAGTGTATTTCACATAATCAATTGGCTGGTAATGGTGGTGGATGGTGAGCATTTATTGGACAAATGGACTTTCCTGAGAGGTTTGGAAGGTTTTATGGTCAGAAGAGGAGAACAGGGAAGCCAGTGCTATAAATACTGATCCGAGCGAATTAGGCGGGGACTGCACACCCGTTAAACCTTCAGAGGCCCACTTCCCCCTGAGGGTAGAAAACACGGGCGTTACAGAACCAGAGGAAAGCGGGAAGACCTCTGACAAAGATGGCTAAGGAAGCCCTGAGGGGTCAAAGGAAACACAGCGGAAAGAACCCAAGGATCCCTGCTTGGAATTCTCCTTTGGAAGCTGAGCATGGGAACCTAAGGAATATATTCTAGACAATTTCTGCTCCATCGCTAGATCTCATGTGTCCAACGACGACAAAGAAAAGACTGGCAGTTAACTGTTTAACAAAATGAGCTGAATAATGTAATGTAGGTCTTGAAGCAGATCATAAATTACAGGCCCGGTAAACTCTACAGCTCAGTGAGATTACCACGTCCAAGGATTTGCCAAAATGGGATTTACAGTCTTATAGTCTGACCAGAACTATTTTCTGTTCCCTTTCATACTGCAATGTTTTAATTATCACTTTAAATGTCTCTTTATTGTTGAAAGTATGACACATGTCTCCTGTTTATTTCCACCATGGACTTCCGCCATCCCACACCCACCCTACCCAAGCCTTCACCACACTCTTGTCTGTGCCCACGTGCTCTGTGTTTTTCTCTTTTATGTCGTCACGTAGAAAACCTGTCAACATACCCAAAGAAGCTGGAAACCCTGCAGAGTCACAGAATCCAAGATATGGATGAATTCCAACCCACCGCTGAGAGCACCAAGAATGAGCCAAGGTCAATACCCGCTCACTGCCAGCATGCCACTGGCCGAGTGGAACCGGAAGTGGGATTTGTATAACCCTAGGCCCTCCTGAAGGTCACCTGCAAGTGGCTGAAGGTGTTGACCTGGGAAAATGCTCTGCACACGCCCCAGGCCAGCATCCCCTCTTTGCTAGGGGTGACACCCTGAGGCTCCTTTTCCTCGCCCATGAGAGAGAAACGTCTTTCCACACATCCTGACCCATCTGGGCCCACTCATGAGGCATGCACCCCTCACTTCATGGGTGAACCCCTTCAGAGCACCCCAACTGCCGATATGAAGGGTCAGTGGCAGGGACCCAGGGTGGTCAGCAGCCAATGGGCTGAGTCCACCCCCCTGGTGGCTCCACCTCCAGTACCTGCTGCTTCCTTGGGGGACACTCAAGTCCTAGGGGTTCTCTCCCTTCCTCAGGTTTTTGCAACTTTGCACATCCCACGACTTGTGAAGTCACAGACACGTCTCAAGTCTAACTCCCGGCAGGCCTGCCTAATGGGGGGTGGGGTGGGGACACACACACTTCACCCTGCCTCCCCAGCATTTGCCTTCTCGCAAGTGTGTGATCCCCATCCCGCAAACTGCAGAGGAATGACAGCATTCACACTGGTGACCGAGGGCTCTGCTAATGCCATGCCCGCCCCTCACCCTGGGCCTTTGTGAAAACACATCACAGAGCACCTATCGCCTCGGTTTCCTTTTCCACGACAACTGAATTATAGACTAGATCAGAATTTCTTTCTTTTTTAAAAATATATTTTATTGATTTTTTACAGAGAGGGAGGGAGAGGGATAGAGAACTAGAAACATCGATGAGAGAGAATCAATCAGCTGCCTCCTACACACACCCCCACTGGGGATGTGCTCGCAACCAAGGTACATGCCCTTGACCAGAATCGAACCTGGGACCCTTCAGTCCCCAAGCCGGTTTTAGCTAGGTCAGAATTTCTTAGCTATCGATCTGGGTTTCATGAAGAGTTATCTAGGTGAAGGCTGAACCAACACGGAGCTGCCATTTCTTTTTTAACAAGAACATAGAATGAGCAAACACACAAACTCTTACCATGACTAGGCGTGGTGTGGAACGTGGGCCCAACACACACTAAATAACACAACATGGATAACCTGGGATTTAATAAAACCAAAGGTTGCATTTAAAATTAAAAAAGAGCGGAGACCGGTTTGGCTCAGTTAACAGAGCGTCGGCTTGGGGACTGAAGGGTCCCGGGTTCGATTCCAGTCAAGGGCATGTACCTTGGTTGCGGGCACATCCCCAGTGGGGGGTGTGCAAGAGGCAGCTGATCGATGACTCTCTCTCATCGATGTTTCTAACTTGCTATCTCTCTCTCTTCCTCTCTGTACAAAATCAATAAAATATATTTTTAAAATAAATAAATAAATAAATAAATAAAATTAAAAAAGAAAAGATCTCAAAATACCAGCACAAGGAGGTATTTCAACCACAATAAGTCATTCTTAATAAAAGGAGATTGTTCTCTAGTAGTTGACTATTCTATTATTTCGTTTGACTCCGGAGGGTCAAATTAAATAATAGAATAGTCAACTAATGAATAGTCAACTAATGCGGAACACACACTCTGCACGTTGGAGAGCTTTTCCCCCAAGTTCACGTGGGGAGGGACGGAGGCATTGAGTCTGCTCAGGCCTCTGCTGGTGGCACAGGCCAGAAAGGGAAGTTGTGCTGTGGTGTAGCTGTCTTTATCTCAGAGGCCAAGAGCTGCTTTGCAAATTTGTAGTATCATTTCCCTAAACAGCCGGGCCTGGGCTGCACTTTGGTTCCTCAGTTCTACACGTCCTGCCGCCACGGAGGCAGAAACCCAGCCCGGAGCTCTGTTTTCTTTCCAATTGTGAGCGCTGCCCACAGAGGAGAGCTAACTGTTCAATCCACCATGGGTGACTATGGAACAGCATTCACAAGTGAAGGATGGGACAGGCTGGACCTCTCTTTCTTCTAGAGAAGCGATGGAAACGTCATAGCTTCTCTCTTCTCCACGGAATATGTGCGAGTCAAAGGAAAAAACCTTTTTCAAGTTAATGCATGGTTCAGCCAAGGAAGAAGCAAGCAAAGAAGCCAAAATCAGGTAAAATTCGCATTTCTAACAGCTGCCTTGTACTTGTAAACACGATTGAAGGGTATTTGCTAGCCCTTGTTTTGAAAATATATTGATTGCATTGCACCAATTGAAAAAAAAAAGTTCTTATTAGAAGCAAACTGTTAAATCCAGTGATTACATTTCTTAAAAATGTGTTAAATCTTTATGATGAAAGTATTGCATATGTCCCCTTTTTTCTCCCATTAACCCCGCAGATGTTTTCATTTTTTAAAAAACAGGAGGGCAAATAATTTTAACCACACAGGTTAGCAAGAATCTTCACTGAAATAAAACCTTAAATACTTTGCAGTCACAGAGGGGAAAAACAAGTATATTTTACATATGCTCCCCTAATTCCTCCCGTAGTATTTATTTATTATTTTTAAAAAATATATTTGATTGATTTTTTACAGAGAGGAAGGGAGAGGGAGAGAAAGCTAGAAACATCGATGAGAGAGAAACATCCACCAGCTGCCTCCTGCACACACCCCACCGGGAATGTGCCTGCAACCAATGTACATGCCCTTGACTGGAATTGAACCTTGGACCATCCAGTCCACAGACCAATGCTCTATCCACTGAGCCAAACCGGTTTCAGCTCCTCCCGTAGTATTTAAGTAAAGTTCTTTAAGGAAAGAATTAGCCACTGGTGGGTGAGATAGGTGATCAGGTCATTCTAAACCTGGGGGTCACAAGGACAGAGTATATCCCCCAAATTTTCCTGACATTAATGAATCCCTTTCATGACAGAGCGAAGGAGAAGAGGAACCGGCTAAGCCTTCTCCTGCAGAAATCCGAGTTTCACGAGGAGCCGAAGGCCAGGAGGTCTGCGCTCTTGACTGGAGTAACCAGGTGAAAAAGGTTCCGTTACCTGGGGAGGGGGAGAAATTTTGCTGATTCTATCATGAGGGGGTCTAAGAAAGAGGAAGTTGGAAATGTCTGTCTTATTTGAAAATCGCACAAGAATAGAGGAAGATTAGAGATCTCATTTCAGAAAAGCAAGGAATATAACCACTTTCATAGCTTGAATTACATGACCTAATAAAAATTTAAGTGCTCTCTTTTAAAATGATAGAGCTGTCCATTTTAAATGATATATTTTATCCTTGTAAACTGATGGAAGACTCATTAAGAGTTTTCACAGTGTAGAGTCACTGAGAAAACCTAGCCACATCTTTCCTCAGTGGTTTGGAAAATGTTCTAGATATGACAGCAAGTAAGTTAAAAAAAAAAAAAAGTATTTTGTAACGTTTAGCCATTTCTTTAATTCAAACAGAAAATGGAACAGCCTTATATATTTGTATAAATTCTTCCAAAGATGAAAAATGACTAATAAGAGATCCAGGACACATATACTCAACTCCCTAAATTATCAGCATTGCTAAGATAAAATGTTTTCTATTTCTTATCCCTTTAAAAATTTATTAGTCAGCCGAAACCGGTTTGGCTCAATGGATAGAGCATCGGCTTGGGGACTGAAGGGTCCTGGGTTCGATTCCAGTCAAGGGCATGTACCTTGGTTGCGGGCACATCCCCAGTAGGGGGTGTGCAAGAGGCAGCTGATCAATGACTCTCTCTCATTGATGTTTCTAACTATCTCTCTCCCTTCCTCTCTGTACCAAATCAATAAAAATATATTTTTTTAAAAAATCATTAGTCAAACTTCCTGTATCTGAAAAAAAAAAAAAAAGCTGCATATTGTGGTAAGAGTTTCAAGGAAATTGCAGTTTACAAAAAAAAAAAAAAAATGAAAGATGTTATCAGTTTAGGGCCTTCTATTTGCTGAATTAAGAAAAATCTGAATCCCCCCTTCCCCTTGGTTTTTAACCTAACACATGCTTAGTTTTTCCTTAGAAGATAATCACAGACAAAAGTGAAAAGCAAGATGAGCTGTGTTTTTGAAGCTGCCAATGTGAATGCAGATTCCGTTATGTAATAGGCCAAGGAGAACCTATGGAGTCTGGTGAAAACAGTCTGTAGCACAGACTCTAGGCAGACTGGCTGCACGCTCCTTACACAACATGTTGTGTCTTGAACAGAGTCTGCCCGGAAGAAGCAATGCGATGGGGTGAATCATTTGATAAACTGCTTTCCCATAAAGGTTAGTGGTATTTTTCCCAACTACGTTATTCCTTCAGGAGTAAGTATGCTAAGTGTGCATGGAACTAGCTATACAACAGAGGCCGTCATAAAAATTGAGTCTGATGGGTAATTTGTAGCAATCTGAATTTCTGATCAAAAGAAATCTCTCTATATAAAAGCCTAATATGCAAATTGCCCTCAAGGGAGTTCAACTGGGAGACTGATCACTCGCTATGACATGTGCTGGCCACCAGGGGGCAGTGTAAAATGAAGGAAGGCGTCAGCTGGCAGCCAGCAGCTGGGAAGGGAGGCCCTGGCCTATAGCCAGTGGGCCCTGATTACCGGCCAGGCCTAGGAACCCTATTCATGCATGACTTTCACACACCAGGCCTCTAGTAACTAAATAATAGTCAACTAATAGAAAACAATCTCATTTTATTAAGAATTATTTGTCGTGGTTGAAATGCCTCCTTGTGCTGTGGTTAATAGCTTCAGATCTATTTTTTTATTTTATTTTAAATGCAACCCTTGGTTTTATAAAATCCCAGGTTATCCAAGCTGTTTTTTATTGTTTAGTGAGCTAAAATTTAAAGTATTGCTTTTGATGGACATTCAGGAAACCCTCATGAAACTAGTTTCTTTTTACTTTTATAACTACTCTGCCTGTCAATCATGTGCTTTTACTTTATTTATTTTTATTGTACTTATTAAATTGATTGGGGTGACATTGATCTACCTGAACATATAGGTTTCATGTGTGGGTTTCTATGTTACAAGGTCTGTATGTTGCACTGTGTCAAATCTTCTTCTGTCACCGGTTATTAGAACCTCTTCCCCCTCCTTTTCTCCTCCCCCCACCCCATCCCCTTCCCTGTGGCAGCCACCACGTTGCTGCTTGTGTTCATAAGTCTCGGTTTAACTTCCCACACATGAGTGAAATCACATGGTCCTTAGCTTTTTCTGTCTGACTTATTCCACTTTGCATGCTGTTCTCAAGTAATCATGTGTTTTTTAAAGCAGAATTGCCTAGAAGGGGTCTGTGCAGGTGGAGCTTTGCAGGTGTGATAGGAGGTTAGGACTGATTTGGAGCCCCGTTTGTCATACCGGGCCAGTGGTCGGCAACCTCATTAGTCCACAGAGCCAAATACCAACAGTAAAATGATTAAAATTTCCTTTGAGAGCCACATTTTCTAAAGGTAAACTTCTTCAAAAGAGACTCGTCCACGCCATGGTATTTTGTGGAAGAGCCACATTCAAGGGGCCAAAGAGCTGCATGTGGCTTGTGGGCCACAGTTTGCCGACCACGGTCCTACCTTTTGAGAAAGCAGGGGTCAGAGGTCAAGCGTAGAGTCCATTTACAAAGGCAGCAGGTGAGGGAGCGTCTTTGGTCTTCATTCGGCCCAGCATGTGTTTCAGGTGGCAGAGCTGACAGGCTGGCGTGAGTGGCCATGGGGCGGGGCCACAGCAGGCTCCTTGTTTCACTGGCCCAGGCAGCATCAGCTTTGTCATCACCAAACAGCCAGCACTTCCTCCAGCCCCGCTCTCATCAGCATCTCAGCATCTTCCTGTTCCTTACCTCCTTCTTTGAAACCAAAATGCTACACAGCCACTTCCCAGATGACCTAACAGGCTGTTCACAACCCTGCTAGTGGGGCTCACAGTCCAGGGTGCCCCCTGGAAGAAGGGGTCCCATCGCTGGGTCAGCGGGGAGGGCAGAACCCAGCGTGCATTCCCCTTCAGAGGAAACCCCAACTTCTGCTTGTTTGTTTTTATTTCCTGTGTGTTTTCTCCCCCTCCATTGTCTGTCCTCCTGTAAAGCTTTGTGACCAATTCATGTTCCCCTGAATTTAGTGACCGAAGGATCCTGTTTCTGCAGACTCTTCCTGAAACTGTTCCCTCTTCCAGGGAAAACAGATTCTGGAATATTGGATCAAGAAATAATATCTATCTATCTATCTATCTATCTATATATATATATATATCTATAGATATATATATCTATCTCTCTCTAGATAGATAGATAGATAGATAGATAGATATAGATATATAGATATTTATAGCCAAAACCTGTGTGGCTCAGTGGATAGAGCATTGGCCTGCAGACTGAAAGTCCCAGGTTCGATTTCGGTCAAGGGCATGGACCTTGGTTGCGGGCACATCCCCAGAAGTGGGTGTGATGATCCTCTCTCATCAGTGTTTCTAACTTTATCCCTCTCTTCCTCTCTGTAAAAATCAATAAAATATATATTAATATATATTATATATATATATATATATACACATACATACATACATATAGGTAGTAAAATCAAGACTTCAGTGTAGACAAGGATGGAATCAATGAGGATGGAGGGCAGCAGAAAGGAAAGACATTCGTGCTAACAGAACATAACCTGTTCCTCTTTCCCCCTCGCTGTCCTGATACTTACCACTCTTAGCACCCTCTTTGGAGAAGAGTAAGGTAAACAGTTCTCCTCAATGACTTGACTTCATCCCCTATATCCCATCCATTTCTGAACTACAGTTAAGATTCTTGCCAAACAGATAAAGAACCTCGCACATCTTCACTAATTCCGCTGCCACTAAACTGATCCGTTCTCAAGACGAATTACAACCACCTGTGTAAAATGTTCCCCATAATCTATGCCAACCCCCTCCCCAAATTTGCTTTCAATATTTTGGCACACCCAAGCCTTTTAGCTTCTCAGCCAGTCAGAGCAAGGGAAGAGTGAGGGAGAGGGGATTCACTTGGTTTGCAACCTGACTGTGTTTTTTATAAGGAAGATTCTTTTTAGCCAGCACATCACCTGGTATATAGTAAGTGCTCAACTAAACCAGATTTGTCGCTAGAAGTAGTTCTCTGGGGTCCCTTTGAGCTATGAGCTCGGGTTCTCTTCTACAACATAAAGGCTGTCTCATCTCAATTAAGCGTCCTAACTACTCTGACCTTCAGCGTCCTCCAAGGTCAATGGAAATAACACTGTCTTTAGCTCCAATGGAAACAGGGCTAAATGAGATTGCAAATATGATACCCAGGCCTGCCTGCGGCCGCACAAATGTTAAATGTCACTGCTATTATGAAATATCAACAATAACTTTAAGTATCTTTTCCTGGTTTTTAGTTCACTCCTCACTGGTCAAACACGGACAGGGTTACAATTCCTTTGGGGGAAGGGGAGGATGCATACCCTGGATTTATTCCTTTAACTTAATAAATCGGTACCTAATAATGTCATTTTGCTCTCACAGCCCGTTCAGAGGGAAGAAAGCCTTAGTGAGGGTCATCAGTCCTCTAGAAAAGGCTTGCTGAGCAGCAGTCACAGCCAAACAGAGAAAGACCGCATCTGCTCCCGCTCACTGGTGGGAAGAGCTCAGAGCTGTGGAGGGGCAGCACATGGGGCAAGAGGAGGGGACACAAATAACAAAAACCCGCCCTGACCCACTTGGACGCTATTATCGGCGCTCACGATCAAAGTGCCAATTCAATTAGACTGAATTCACCCCAAATTGTGCGACTGCTGTTCTTTTAATCAGCCCTCAAAAACCCAATTATTTTAATTGGAAAGCTTATTGTAATGTTAAATTATAAAGCTTGAAATAATCAGCTACAGACGTCTGTTGGTGGCGATGGTTAAATTCAGCTTGTTTCTACTGGATTCACTCTAGCCACTCCCCTCTCCCCCCCAAAAAAAGGAAAGATCTTGTAATTAGGTGTGTACACACACACACACACACACACACACACACACACAAAGACCTTGATCTATCTATCAAATTTTATAGACTTCCCCTTGGGTTCAATATGTAAGCTTCTCAAATTCTGTATGTCACATGTATAAAAAAGAAATGGAAATTTTATTCAATTTAGTCCAATGAGACATGAAATGAACAAAACAGAATAGAAATTTGAGTAGTCAGTTTGATAGAAACGGCAGCTACTTAAACCACTAGAGACTGGTATTAGAATCTTCAGAAAGGTGGCCACAGAAAACGATGGTTCTTCCTCTGGATTTAGGGGATTCATCAAAATGCACCATCTGGACAAGGGGAGAAAGAGAACGTGCAGGCAGAGAGCCAGCACAGGCCTGGGGAAGTGACCAGTGCAATGAGTTTAGGGAACTAATAAGACATAATTCCTTATTGAGAAACAACATTTGAAAAAAGGGACTTACAGTAACGGTTAATGGCCAGGTGAGACTAAATGAGAGAATGTTTTTGCTGTATTCCACAGAAAGCAAACCATCCAGAGAGTTTGGGGGTATTTCCATTACCTTTTCAAATTCCATTTTTAAGATGTGGTTTAATTCTTTTAAAATTTAAGAAGACAGTAAAAATCCAAGGAAATCTAAACAAAGAATGGACTTTAAATAATAATATATCAACATTTCATAATTGAAGGGAACTGAACATGGGATATATGGGAACTGTACTATCTTCATAACTCTTCTGTAAACCTAAATTTATTCTAAAATATTTTTTAAAAAATAAGCTCAAACACATTTAGTAAATTATGGAAATCCCTCAATAACATAACTGCTGTTCTACCATTTGTTCCTATACAGATATTTGAATACTTTTTTTTTGACATTCCTGTTTATTGACAAATTTGTCTGAAATTGCAAATGAATCACAAAAATCTATAAATTAACTACTTATATAACTAATAATTTCTAAATGTTGCTTAATAAAAGCAAAAAGCATGAAAGACCAACATCAGACTATATCTGTCATTCATAATTATCAATTTCAAATCCAGTCACCATTCTTCTCACTGGCTGACTTTCTGAAAGTCAATGCTCTCAATATAAGTTAACAGACCAATCCATTCCAATTACATCACTTACACATGTGTATTATAGGTTTGGTTTGGGCACATATATGTATATACTTCCGTGTAAGACATCTTTGAAAGTAAAACACTACTTCTGAATATAAGTCATTTTGAAAACAACTGGCTAAATACAGTAAAAATGATGAAAAAATGCAGTGTATCATGAAGGCTTTGGGAAACCTTTGAGA